AACCCCCCTTGAGCTATCTGCCACCTGTGCTCAAAATTCTAAAAGGAGAATTGTGGAGGGCACTGCATATGGAAGCCATCTTGAGCTATCTGCCATCTTGAGCTATCCACCATCTTGGAAACCATTAGGTTTCACTTCCTCACTGAGCAAACCATTTCTCAGAATTGGAAGTGGTTGGAAGTGGTTGGGTTTCTAGGCAATGGGAGAGATCCACCCACATCAATGATTGGTTCATGCTGTTCTATCTCATTTGCATTTCGGGCAACCAATTGGTGCCCACCAACTGTATATAACTAGCCATTTTTCCTCAATAAAGGGAAGAAGAAGAAGACTTGATTAGCACCTTGTGTTGTGTGTGCATGTATTTGTCCCATCTCTCACTCCCTCCCCCAGGGAACTTGTTCAACTGTCCCGCAGGTTGGGACACGTGGCTCCCGAACAGGGAATCAAGGAGAAAAGATTGCAGGGTAGCCATCCCCCCAGGAGGTGACTTCTCACTTTCCATCTCTCTGTTTCTGTCTCTCCAGCAAGTGCACACGCCCTATAGTGAAAATTTGTCTTAAAAATTAAATTAAGGGCCAGCAGGTGGCTGGTATTGTGGCTAAAGCACTGGACTTCCACATGGCTGACTGTGGTTTGAGTCCCAGACCCAGTGGCTTGAAAATCAAATCAGGTGTATGTGCATGCGTGCCCAAGATCCCGAGAGGAGAATGGAGGAGAAGGGATTGCGGCGTGGCCATCCTCCCTGGAGGGTGATTTCTCACTTCCTGTCTCTATGTCTCTCTGTCTGTCTGGCAAGCGCACGTGCCCTATAGCGAAAACCTCTCCAAAAAATAATAGTAATTAAAACATTTAAGTCTAGAGGCTAGCAGGTGGCATAGTGTTTAAGGTGTTAGATTCCCTCATGGTCAAACTTGTAGTCCTGGACCTGGTGGCTTGAAAATCAAATCAGGTGTATGTGCTTCCATGCCCAAAAGCCCTGGAGGAGAATGGAAGAGAAAGGATTATGAAGTGGTCATCTCCTCTGGGAGGTGGGAGACAGGATTTCTCATTTTTCCACTCTCTTTGTCTCTCTCCATTGAGTGCACATGCCCTATAACAAAAACTAAAAATAAAAAATAAAATTATGTAATTTAATTTTAAATTTACATTTTAATGAGTCTGTGCTAAGGGTTGTTTTCTTATTTGCTATAAACGTGCAATTTAACATTCATCTAGGCAGCAATTAAACTTGACCATTTAAAATCTTATTCCACTCTTAGCTCCCACTCCCTCTTAATGCCTGTCATTCTCAAAGAACTGTCGATCAAATTTAAACCCAGGGCAAGACTGACAAGCACTTAATTATTATTTTTAAGAATTATTTCATTTAACTTTATTTATTTTTATTTATTGTTTAATTTGACCAGAGGGGGACAGAGCGAGAGAGAGGGAAAGTGAGAAAGTAAGTCACTAGATCCGGGAATCGAACCACAGGCAGCCATTTGGGAGTCTAGAGCTCTTAACCCCACACCACCTACTGGCCCCACACCTCATTATTTTCAATGCTGTTTTTGTTTTGTTTTGTTTAAGTTTATTTTTCCCGTGAGTGAGAGAGACATAAAGAGGGAGAGAGATGGGGAGACAGCACCTCCAACTGGATCTTGACACCATTATCCATTCCCAGCTTCAGCCAGTGCTGGATCATGGGCACGTGAGTGCCTGGCACACTTAGGAATGTTTCCTAACGTGAACCCAGAAGCTTTCCATGTGAATAATCCACACAGAACACTGAGTTTCTTTGTGTCACTGTACTATCACGCACACCTCCACCCCCATTTTAAAAGCTATTTTCAAATACTTAAGAAGGTGTCAATTATTTTCTCTGCGTTATTTGCACCTCTTTATTGGGGGAACACGGACAAAAAAAGTGGATATGGACAAAAAGGAACAAGTGTTTACATGGGAATATGTTCGTACAATGGCATAAGTGACAGTAATTAAAATGCATGGTCTAGATCTATATGCATCAGCATAGACCATTCTCAGGAAATGTCTGTTCAAAGTGATAAAAGCAAATTGCAGAATGGCGCACATTATATGTTACCATTCATACAAATCTTGAAGATACACAAACAAAACCACAATAATGCTAAGTATCTCTTATGGATAACTATGATTATAATAAAAGTATAAATATATGGGTAAATAAACCTAAAACAACTTCAGAATAATAGCAACCACTGAGGGAAAAAGGAGAAGGAAAGAACTGAAAGAATTCTCCACAAAGGAGGATACCAATTGGATGTAGAACATCTTGTTTAAGAAAGAAAATATCTGAGGGGCTGGCATGTGGCATGGTGGTTAAGGCACTGGACTCCCACATGGCCAACCATGGTTTGAGTCTCAAAACAAGTGGCTTGCTTTCTCACTCTCCCTTTCTTTCTTTCTCTGTCTCTTTCTGGTTGAATTGAATAATTAATTAATTAAATTAATAATGCTTTAAGGGGCTGGCAGGTGGCGTGGTAGTTAAGGGTGCTGGACTCCCACATGGTCAACTGCAGTCCGGGTCCTGGACCTAGCAGCTTGCTTTCTCACTTTCTCTCTCTTTCTCTCTCTCAGTTCCTCTCTGGTCAAACTGAAATAAAAGATAAATAGATAAATAAAGTTAAATAAAATAATTCTTAAAAGAAAAAAAGGAAAGAAAGAAAATGAAAGAAATATGGCTAGTTAACTATTAACATTTTTAAAAATGCATGGATGTTTGTAAAATTATTCTGCATTCTTTGTACCTCAGATATATATATATATATATATATATATATATATATATATATACACACAGCAACATAAAAAAACAATAACAATAATAAATAAAACTAAATAAATAATTCTTAAAAAAAGAATCACTCATTTAATTTTATTTATCATTATTACTTTTAACTTGATTAAAGAGAGACAGAGAGTGAGAAAGAGAAAGGTAAAAAAGAGAAAGGTGAGAAAGCAAGCCACCAGATCCAGGACTCAAGCCACAGTAGGCCATGTAGGAGTCCAGTGCCTCAGCATCATGCCACCTGCCAAGCCCCTCAGATAAATTTTTTTTTTTTTTTTTTTGGAGAGGTTTTCGCTATAGGGCGCATGCGCTCGCCAGACAGACAGAGAGAGACAGAGAGACAGAAAGCGAGAAATCACCCCCCAGGGGGGATGGCCACGCTGCAATCCCTTCTCCTCCATTCTCTTCTCGGGATCCAGGGCATGCATGCACACGTGCCCGGCGTGAGTTTTAAGCAACCAGGTCCAGGACGCGAACAGCGGTCGACTACGTGGGAGTCCAGCGACATAGCCATTACGCTAACTGCTGGTTCCCCAGATAAATTTTTTTAATGTAACAAGTAAATGCAAAATTTTCATTCAAAAAAGTTAGGAAATGTTCTGATGTGAAGAATACCCCTGAGAAGAAAACCAACAAGCTTATTTATTGCCTATTGGTAAAATTCACATGAAGCACAAAGATTTAATCTTATCCTTATTATCTCCTCTTATCCCAAAACACTTGTGAATAAGACACTAGCAGCCAAACATGTAAAAAAGCCTTCCATTATTAAATCAATAACTTTTTGTTAAGTGGAAGGAACAAAGCTGAGTTTTCTGTCTCTACTTACTATGACATAACTGCTCTTTTTTCCCACTAAGAAGATGATGACAAAATCCAGGCATTTATAAGCCAGCTAGAATTTTAACTCTAGGGGCAAATGCTTTTATAACTCTGTGACGAGCATGCACAAAAGTGGTGATGAGACAGACTATGTAAGTTCTCTTGCTCCTAAATCGTCCTTCCTTTCTAGTTGATTCCATGCCCTCCAAAATGGGAGGAAAGGCACCAATTAACACAATAAAGGAGAGACTTGAGAGCCCAGAGAATACTTTACCTTAAATTTTTTTTTTTAAATTAAAAGTCAAAGGGAGACAGAGATAGACAGAACTATCTCTACCCACTAGAAATGAGTCTGGGGAACCAGCAGTTAGCGTAATGGCTATGTCGCTGGACTCCCACGTAGTTGACCGTGGTTCGCATCCCGGGTCCGGGGGCTTAAAATTCACG